TTCCCTCAATTCTCCTACTCTGCAAGTGGGCGAGAATAAGTCTCTTTCGTTCTGTTTCTACACTGTCATCTTAGAGTTCTGTCACTGAGAATGATTCCTGGACATCTCCACCAGTCCTCGCTCTTACAGATAGCAGGGGTGCTTCTGACATCCCTGACCAGCCAAGGGTCTTCACCCGCACCACCTTTCACCCACATGAAAACATATACACAGACACTCCAGTTTTTGTTTTTGCATGAAATTGTATCTCAGTCTAAGGTCTCATGCTGTTGCTGCTACTGTCTTACTATTATAGCAATTTTCAGAAGTAATTTTACTGTCTGGGAGTCACGAGCCCATCGTATCGTTCTGTGCATCAGCTGTCATCTTTCAGTTTCTGTTCTTCCCGAGCAGTGAAGGCTAATCGAGACACGCTGATTCTAGGTACATTTTCACCTTTCTAGAAGATACATCAGGAACCAATTAGACTAAGAAGAGTTAGCTTATATTTCTGAACAAGCAGTTGTTGAAGGGTGGTGGTGTGCGTATGTAAGATTAGCACCGCATGTCTGATCAGTGCCTAAAGTGCCGATCACTGATATTTGGCTGGAATTCCTTAGGAAGCATTGAGAGGACTGAAGGGCTGATGAGATACACATGATTTTTAATTCCTGCTGGATATTGTGGAGGAAGCCCAGTGTCACCCTCGGACACCCAGACTTCACGGGCAGATGGCCGTTGTTCCACCAAGTACTGAAGGTGCAGAGTCACCTAGAGGGTCTTAGGATCTACATTGTACCAGAGAGTATTTTTCCCCTGGGCTTGGCAACCTTTTCCCTTCTTGATATTTATCACCTCTGATGGCTGAAGAATGTAGACAGTATAATGATCCTGCTGTCGCCAAAATCTATACACCAAGGTGAACAGGTGTTTGCCTTACCAGTTTTGAAGTTTTCCTTTCAGTTATAGGTGAATTAGCTTTTTCTCAGATGTTAAAACTTTGAATGTCCTTTTATGATTTTGTTTCTATTACAGTAGTATTTATTTTTAGTGATAAGAATTGTATTGTCATGTTAGCAAACGCAGTTCCAACTCACAGGACACTGACTGCGGTTTCTTTTGAACCGTGTGCAAGGAATGTACACACCCATTAGAATCATGCACTTTTTCTCCTTTGTATAAAAATTGGTAAGGCTCTGGAATTGTATCTGTTGGTTAAAATCTGGCTTTGGGAGAAGAGATGCTGTAATTTAACCCCTTGGTGCCGAAATGAGAAAATCCCCAATGCCAAGGGGTTGGTAGAGCAAATGGATATTGATGGTTGCTCACTTGAGTGGATGTGTGAGTGTAGCCTGGCATAAGGTAATGGAGAAAGCTGAGACCCAAATGATAAGAAATGAACTTTACTTGGCAAAATGGACACATCACAAATATTTACACAATAGGAAGCAAAGGACAAGAAGCTGGTGTGTTTATTCTTATCAAGGTACATTCATTACTGAATCAAGCCATCAGGGAAAACAATGAAACAAAACACCTCTAGCTTTTCGTTTTCTGTACATATTCATGTCTCCCAATCCCAAACATTTCTCACTGAGAGGGGACATGTATGCAAACCTCATCTTTCTCCTTCATTAATGATGATCTTCAGATTAAACCCTTTGGTGCTAGGAGCTGACACTTTCCAAAGCAGACTATGAAGTCCAAGGATCAAAGCCTTTCTTGCAGCAAGCAGGAGGGCGTGTGCTCCAAGGAGTGATCATGGAGATGTATTAGTCTAGTCACTAACTGACAGCTCCCACATGGAAGACTGCAGCATGGCATAGTAGTGTTCCTGCATTGTCTTTTTGAGTAGGAAGTCATGTTCTCATGCAGATGTCTTAGCCTCTAGGCTCAGACTTGGGGAAGCAGAGCCGCTGCTGGCAGTGGCTGGCCGCTGGGACTGCTGGGGTTTAAAGGGCATTTACTAAGGCAGCTAAGACGGATTCAGACACAGATTTTTGTCCTAATTTTTCATGTTTCTACGTGAGTGAGTTTATCCTTAGTGTGGAGTAGGAAGTTAAAGTAAACAGATGTTCATTTTTACATCTGTAGTCTTTTTTCCTACTTAGAATTATGTTGAATGTTTCACATTGGCAGGAAAGTAGATTAGATGGTATGTCCTTTAAGTTATCTTGCATCCACTCTGTAAGAAAGAAATGTGAGAGGAAGAAAAGCAAGCTGAGCCTGGCTGATGTCAGAGCATCTACCCCTCAGAGGGAGCAGACCTGTACACTAAGCACACAGCTTCTTTTGTTCTGTCTCCTCACCAAGTCTTAAGGTGACTTCATGACCTTGGCCAAGGATACTTTCTAAAGATTAATGAGGGGCACTGACAGTGCCTCAGGCTGGCTATCCTCACACCTGGCCTTTGGTCCCCAGCCATTCGAGGGCTTTCTCTTCCCATCCCAAAGCTCCCTGAGTGTCGCAGCAGGCATATTCTTGGCTTTGATTTCGAGACTTTTTTCCTTGCGATCCCAGATGTCAGTTAAATGGCAGAAGTCGAACAGAAGAGGAGTGGGGAGGAGATTCCTGTACCTAAGCTTGGGGTTCAGGCAACTGAAGTGGCTGGAACCCTGGAATCGTTATGTCCAGATGCCATCCTGGCTTTGTGATTCCAGCTCCTCCCAACTCCAGCTTGACCTCTTGTGGTCATGCAGGGCTGTCCTGGAGGAAACTGGCTACTTCTGCTCCGACTGCTGGCAGGATTGCTCACAGCTTTGCTTTCTGCCCTAATGACATAGCATTATTCCAGTATTGTTTCCATTTCCCACACCTAACCTCGAGCTTCTCAAAGCTGACTGTTCTCACAGGGGCCACATGCTTCTCCTTTCCTCACTGACTGCAGGGTCTCTACCACACCTCAGTGTACACACTTTGCTGCTACTGTCTGTACTGTCCACATCACAGTTCCCTTAGCTTGCTCCTGGTAGTGCATTACAGGCAAGCATGAAATGTAAAGTATTTATTTAAATAAAAAGAAAACCTCTGAATTGGTCATCGAGTCACCTCCCTGTAGATTTGTAGTTTGTGACCTATTTTGACTTTCTAGTTCTGCTAGATCCATGCAAGATCTGGTCATCTGGTTAAGGGTTTGGAACAGACACAGCTATGAACTTAGATGCTGTATCATTGTCACTGCTGGTCACACTACAGACGTCCGTTTCCTTACATATATGACCCATAGGGTATAAAATAACTACAAAAACTGGCTTTGTACACTGTACACCCTTAGTCTCTCACAGGCATCTGGTAGGACACACATTACTTCCTTCGTACAGACAGCTTAAATAAAGCCCTATGTCAATCTGCTACTTCTCTGTTTGTTGTTGTTGGATATGGCTCTGTAACCTGAGAAAACTAAATTTTGTTCTTTTCTGGAAAAAAATGATTATGACCACAGCTGGTATTAAACAACCCTGTATGAAGGTGTGACAGGAAAATAGGTAAATTCCTCTTAGATTAAAAACACCTAAGGGGTTATTTTTACATAAGCAAAATGCCAATAGCATGCTCATACAGACTGATGAAGGGCTAGGAGTGGAGTCACTGGCCAGAGCACTAGGTTTCAAGGCCCATCTGCTAGGATGCCAGAGACAGAATATGGTGCAGACCCTAAAGGTCTTAATAAGAAATGGTGTGGACCCAGGATTCTCAAGGAATGTAGCTTATCACTGATGTCTTCCTGATAACATACTGCTCCATACACTACCTTTGCAAGTGTATCTTTAACCCTTCATGGCAGTTTATAACTTAGACATGAGTAATCAATGGCTAGAATGTCTGGATTACATTGACTCATTTTGGATGGGGCGTATTTCTGATTTTACCTCATAAGCTACAATTTGGCTTTGCTCTTGTGATTTCAGCAGAGAGGCATGACTTTTGGGACCAGTTTATCAGACATGTATGTGTATTTCTCACAGCCAAATTTGGGGACATTTTTACATGTGCTGTCCTGAAAATCAACTGGGGTTGACAGATCCCGAAGGCTGAAATAAAGTGACCTCTATAACTCTTTACAGGTGCTATTTTTAGAATATTGTATAATTTATTCATGGTATACATAAAATAGAAGTGAGGACAGTTAAAATATGTGACAGCTTTACGTCTAGCGTATTTGATGAAAGCAGAACCTTGTGACTCAGAATAGGAGTTCTGTCTGAGGCTTGCACCTTTGACATGCCCCAGAGATGAGGATGGCCTGTGTGCTGTCAACACCACCACCTCCTTGGCCTAAGCTGCATGATTGTGAGGGGCGGGCTGAGCTTGGAGAAACCAGTCCTCTGCTGAGAGCCCTGGGCTGCTAGCTTGCTGGCTGGGAAAGGAGATGAGGTTGGGCTTGTCCCACACACAGCCTTGCTTGCCCTTAGTGTCTCATTCCACCCTCAAACCCCATGACCATCTCAGCATCCAGGCTTTTCTTTCTTTTTTTTTTTTTTTTTTGTGGTGCTGGGGAAGGAACCCAGGGCCTTACACATGTTAGGCAAATGTTCTACCACTGAGCTAAACCCCAGACCTTCCAGTGTCCATTTGTATTCCTTTAAAGCATTTGAGGGCTTGACTGTATAGTAAAAATACTATTTTAGACTAAAAATATGATCTGTGTACAGCTATTTGATATACTGTTAAGTAAATTTTCTAATTTCACATACATTTGTTTTTAGGCTCCTCTCAAATACTGCTATTGAAGACTAAAATCTGACACCATCGAGCCAAAGATGCCTTTTTTGGGGGGGGAGGGGGCTGTTTTGTGTTGTTCAGAGAATGGAAAGGATAATGCAGAGTGCTTCCTGAGTACATACAGTTCGATGGTAAATACTGGACGCTGGCTAAAGGTATACATAATCTATCTCACAAAAGGGGAAGGACAGTGGCCGGCAGCAGGAGAAGTGGTCTTCAGTACACTTTGGCTGACTCAAACATGTGCCTTTGTGTGTTTTGTTTGTCACTGCTACAAAATGAAAAGGAAACCGAACAACTCAAGTCTTGAGAGGTCATTTTATTAATCCCGTACGTACTCTAGAATAGAGACAACAAAAAACCGGTGACTTGATGCTGTTTTGAGCACACACTCCAGCTAGCCCAAGCCAGTTCATGCTGAAGCACCCCCTGGCTGTAGCACAGGGACAGACCCATGGCATGAGGACCAGCCCCCCTACAGCCCCAGGTGGTGTCTCCCTGGGGAGGTTTCGGTGCACTGTGGCACGTTAAGTACAAATCAGATGAATGTAAATATCTCTTTGTAAATCATTTATTTCACTCTGTTTCATCCAGGTCAGCAATCAGATTGTGGCATGCTGGGTAACTGGAAAAAAATGATAATAAAAAGTAAGTTTAAATAGATCATGGGTATTTGTTTTCTCATTTGCTAGTTTGGTCAGCTGTTATTACTGAAGTTTTGGAGAAAAGGTTTCTGTTGCTAAAAATGTGGAAACCACATGTAGCCAACTGTATTGAAAGTTTGCCTCACCCCTTGCCAGTGGAGACCAAAGCAAGCCCTTTTTGTGTCTGAGTGTCAGGCTATGTATCTCCAATGCTTTCCTTCTGAAAGCAGCCAGGCCTGTACTCCAGGACAGTGTGTCCCTAAGGACAGCTGACATGATGACAGTGTGTCCAGCTATTTGTTAGGGAATGGATCTGACATTACAGTGGGCTTTAAGATAGGGGAAGAATGAGGACGTCAGCCAGTGTCTGTATGGATAACCCAGAGGAGCCTCTGTTCCCTGCAGCTTCTTGGAACATATCTAGATGCAGTTTGACATACTGACACTCCACCCACATGCTGGAAGGTGGGACCCATGATACTGAGGTTCATTTCTAAGATTTTGCACTTACTGGTATGGGGGGAGACAAGGGTTGGGAAAATGCTGAACCCCATTCCCCGATGACTACACTGACTTTGCACACAAGTTCCTGCCACACATAGGTCTGTCAGATGTCTCCCTAGTTCTGCAGTGCCTTCAGTGGAAGATGACCGGCTCCAGTGCTGTGGGAGGCTGAGGAGGGCTGTCTGTGTGGTCCTGGAGCTGCAGTGTCTTTCCACTGGGCCAAGAGGATGGAGCACAGGCCAGGGCCCGCCCAGCTTCAGTAACTAGAGCTAGAATCCAAGGGAGGACTCTGCCTGGTGGAAGCCGTGATTATGTGTTGGGGACTTCTGAGTTGGAAGCCCAAGTGAGACATACTGGAAATACTCTTTTCTGTGTTCTCTCCTTCCTTCCTTCCGTCTGTCCGTCCTTTCTTTTTTCCTTCCTCCTTCTCTCTCTCCCTCCCCCCCTCTCCTCCTTCCTCCTTCCCTGGAAAAGGTCAAGTACATGTTACCATGTATGAGTAGTATGGTAGTGAATTTTAATTAAGTAAGCAGAATGGTTTCCACACCAGGAATGCAGGTGGGGCTGTGGCAAAAGACAAGGTCAGTGCAGGACAGCATAAGGTTAAAGACGAGGAGCCTGTCGGAACTCACGGGAGCTCTGTTCTCAGACTCTTCCAGAGGGGGTCTTGGAACATCTGTCAGTCTTCAAAGCCTGCCACCAACCGTAATCAGCAGACAGAGGGACTCCAGTAGAGCTGACACCAGCCCTCACTGAGCAAGCAGATACTGGTTCTGAGAGTGACTTGCTGGGATGCCAGGACAGGCTGCCTGGTATCCTGGGTCCCTAGACACTGGTCTTCTAACCCAAGAAAGTGGGTGATTGAACAAGAATCAGCACATACCATGATAGGCACATTTCAGAAGACAGAAGTGAACACACTTGGGCACAAAATCCCTACTTGAGTGCAGACAGTGGCAGGGACTCCTGTGGCAGAGTGGAGCTTGCGGCAGGATCTTTATTAACCCAGCTCCAGGAAATGCATTGCTGTCTTTTGAGTGCCTGTGGCTCCAAGGTCATCTAGCGATACATCATCACTGGCTCCCTGTTGATTCTTGACCTGCTCTTCTGAGGCAGGACAGGAACCCAGGAAGTCCCCTGCTCCTGGAGCCAAGGGGCTGTCCCTCTCCTCAGTGTCAGGCTCTAGTGTGGGTAGACACCCTGCATCCTTACGGCCACGGCCCATCTTTAAGCGCTGCACTGCCTCCTGGAGTGACATCTCTCAGTGCTGCCTCAACTGTGCAGTTACCCAGAGACAGAAACGTGAGTCACCATCACTCTCACGTATCTGCTGTCACTCACTTGTCAGGGCTGGTACTGATGTGTACTTCTGTCCTCAACACCACAACCTTGGTGGTCTCAGTCCAGAAGAGAAGATGTGTGTCTAGGGAATGAGCGTGGGACAGCCATCTCCCCTCCTGCCACCTCCCCTGTTACCATGACCCCTGGGGTGGCCCTCCTGGATCTGTGAATGCCCTGGGAGAAGAGACAGCCCTTTGGTTTGTCTGGCTGTAGCCCGATGCTCCTGACACATGCTTCTTGTCACTTTTAACTCCTACCACAGCCTTGGGTTTTGTGCCTAATTTATTTCTCACGTTTACTTTAGACTTGGAGTTTAAGAAGAGAGTTGCACGGAGTGACCCAAACCGTTGCCCAGTTGACCAAGCTTTAGGGTCCCCAGCCCTTCCTGCTGTTGGGACAGATCCAGGCTGCCATTTCCACTTCTTCCCTTTCCTTTCTCTTGAGACAGACTGGCCCACAGGCCTCTCTGCCTTTTGATTCCAGAATCCTATAGCCCCTCATTCTTTCTGGCTCTCTCTGTGCTCATTATCCTATGTGGCCATGTCCCCAGACACTCTTTGTCTGTGTGCCTCTGGCAGTGGGCATGAAATTTTAAAAGGATGACCATTTTCTCAGTGGTCCTTCAAGCTTGTACTAAGAGGACAGAAGTACCCAGGCCCCAGGCTCCTCTCTGTGGCTTGCCTTCCGTTATGATGCTATGGGATACTCATGGACTCTGATTTCCTATCACATTACATGTTCCTTGGGCTATAATCCTCCATCTGCCTGGGAGGATATGAAATGAATTCTCTGTAGTGGCCCCATGATCCTGTTGTGATGTTGACAGTTAACTATGTGAACTTTAGTAGTACCTGGACTGGGCTCCAAATGGGACCTACCCTGTACTTGAGGTGCCGAGCTGAGATCTGAAACTAGGCATGTGGTCTCCAAGGACAGTTCCTACCATGATTCTCCAGGCCTGCTTTGGATGCATGAAGAACTGAGAGGCTGGCACAGCAGCATTAAAAGCACAATTTGGGTGGCAATCCAGAATGGATCAACCCAGGCAGAACAAACGGTACTCTGTGTGCTGTGTGACATCAGTGGGTTATGGCAGTGAAGGCCACCTCGCTTAGCAAGCAGTAATATCTACCAAGCTCACATTTTAGCAGTGCCCCCAGATCCTAGAGCAGTCTCCCCATCACAGGCTAGAGCCTCTGCCAGGAACCACCAAGGCAGGAAGTCACAAGTCACCATAGACCAGCAGTGACTCCTTGCTGGCCACCTGTGTGGGCTTCTGAAGACAGCTGTGCCTCCCTTCCACTAATGGACTGGCTCTGCCCCCTCTGCAGAAGCCAGAGCAAGGACAAAGCAGAGGGTGACGAGGATGCACCTCTGCAGACAAGGTCGAGCTCCCACGTGATGGAGGCAGCTATGTGCAGGCCAGGGATGCCTGCACTCTTGTAGGAGGGGTGCAGGGTGTCTTCTAAGAGAGCCATTTATCACCAGAGCTCTTCAGGGTCAAGTGTCTGCTGGTTCCTAAGCACTTGCTCTGCACGGGGGCAGGTGTCTGTTTTATGTGAATCGTATTTCCATGGGAAATAAATTTTAAGAATTCCCAAAGGACAGACAGTGTCACCAACAGCAGGGAGTGGAGCCTCTGGTTGCCTCATGTTTGGAAGCGTTAAAAATGAAGACAACATTGACATTTGGGGTTGCAATGTGACGGGATTACAGTCTTTTAAAGGCAAGAACTACTTATCTCCACAGCATGTAATATTCAGTGTTTTGTTCACTTGTCTAATTGGATTAAAATATTTAGCTCCCTTTAAAAACTCGATTGTGAATTTATATTGCAAAATGTAATGTCTAACTCAGAAAGCAATAAGAGGAGCAAATGCATCAGAAGCAATATAAAATTCAACATTTTCCATCCACGATTCCTATTCTGGAAGTATGCATTTTTGGACAAAGGGAGATGTTCGAACAGGCCTGCCTTAGATGGAGTCTGGTGTACTTTTCAGTACTAAGGACACACACGGCACCTAGATGAACAACTAGCTAAGTGCATGCTGTTTCAGATGCTTGGGGAAGTCTCTGTGAGGTTTGCAGACCCTTATGTTAGAAGTGCAGCCTGGGGTCTTATGTCATTCTCTAAAAACACCCAGCAGCAGGGAGTTAATGACATTTTAGCTGCATATGTTCAAGTTGATTTAAAAAAATATGCAAGTCACTTTGGTTGACAGTGTCTTGTACACAGTTTTGAAAGAATCAGGGCAAACTTTAACAGAGTCAGTTTTTATTTGAAAAATATTTTCTGGGAATGTATCAGTGTTTATTTTTGAGACTGACAATTCGGGTGAAAATCAGGATAAAAACAAAAAAACAACAATTTGGTTGAAATCAAATTGTTTGTTTTCATCTATTTAGAACTCTTTCCAAAAAATTCTGGTTTCAGAGGAGGCTTTGTAATTTATTTTATTTAGTGTATTTTCTGTTCTAGTCATAAGACACCATCTGTCTTGCAGGTAGTTAACTGTGTGTGGGCCCTGAAGTGCACGGCAAGGCCCCTGGGCTCTAGGAAGGACAAATTAAGAGTGACCACCTCTAGGTCCCCACTTTGGCTATCAGCTCCCTAGTAGCCAGTGTGTCTGGGAGACCGTCACTTGAGCTGCCCATCCCTAGCTTCCCTCCTGTGTCTGCTGGTTACAAGCAGGCCTCTCCTCCCCAGCATCTCCATCCTGTGTCTGCTGGTTACAAGCAGGCCTCTCCTCCCCAGCATCTCCATCCTGTGTCTGCTGGTTACAAGCAGGCCTCTCCTCCCCAGCATCTCCATCCTGTGTCTGCTGGTTACAAGCAGGCCTCTCCTCCCCAGCATCTCCCTCCTGCTTGTTTTCAACTCTATTCACCGAGTCCTCTGATGGAATGAGATAATGTCGAAGATCTTGAATATAATCACATATGGCTGCTGGATCCCTGCACAACTTTAAATCAAATTAGAAAGTGCATTTGCTGCCAAGAATGCTTAAAAGTCATAGGGCCAAGAGATGAGCCCCTGACACGCAGCTTCAGACTGTTTTCTAAACTGTGAGTGATTCCTAAGAAGGGACTCAGGGAATCCCTCCCCAGCCTGAATGCTGAGGACTCAACAGGCAGCCTGCGCAGGGTGACAGCTATTGGTGGATGCCAGGCAGCTGAAACCAGAGTCACTACCCAGTAACTCCCCAACTCATCTTGATGGGGGGAACAGCCCTCTAAGTAGACAGACCATTTGTGTTGTCTTCCCTCTCCCAGACCCAAGAACAGACTCGGATTTCCTCACCAGCTGCCTCCACCCTTCCTGGCCAGATGCTAGAGTCTCTGGGCTCGGCCTGCTGACCCATGACCCCGCTCCAAGCTGTCAAGCCTTGTCTGGTACCCCTGGGACCCGTCACCCTCACCTGTAAGCCATCTCCACACTACTACTACGGCATTTTGGCCTCCCCAGCCAGGCAGGTCTGCCAAGGAGAGAGAATGGTGGCTGGTCCAGCGCTCACACCACAGCCAGGCTGTGAGAGGGCTCGGGCTACTGCCATGGTAAGAGTAAGCGAGTATGGCCATGCCCGCACAGGCAGTCATGTGATGGCCTTCTAGAGGCCCTTTTCTAAAAGTTCCTTTCAGTGTGAGTCAGGAAGTTAAGAGGGCCACCATCTTCAGCCATTCCTGCGTTAGGAGCACTACAGACCAGCTGGAGGGACATCCTGCACTCTGGACAGTGACTTTGCTGCCACACAGCAGCCACATAAGCTCTCCAGCCGCAAGTGGCATTGGCACATGCTCACAACCAGGACTGGTTTCCTCCATGGGCATGAGGCTGTGTGTGACTCAAAATCTAAACAGAAGCCATTTAGAATAATCAAGGCTTAGAAACAAGGCATTTCCTGTTAGAGCCCACCCTTCTTCCTCTGCATAGGCCAGGACTTAGGACGTAGAGCCAATCTGGGGGACGTGACTAAGCTCCCAAGCAGCTGTCTGGTCAGAAAATGCTCATTCTCTTTTGGGTACTGAGCAGACAGATTTTCAGAGTTGGACATGCAAAATTAAGCTATTATGCTTAATTCATCCAGGCTGAGAAAATGGAAGCCTTCACCCTCACCATCACCACACTGCACGCACAGGTGCTGTACGCCTCAGATGCCCCACAGTCCAGATGAGAACAGGTTAAGGCACAGCTGTTCCCTCCAGAGTCCCCAGGAACCACTCCCCTACCAGTTACAAAGTCAGTCAAACTTTGGCCTTCTTAATTCAAGGGTTCCTTTAAAAACTCAGTTTATAATTCATGTTTATTTCAAGACAAAAATGCCTCACAGAGGCCACCAAGTGCCAGCACACAGGGACCAGTGCAACATTTGTGCCAAGAGAGTAGACTCTGCGTTTAGAGACTGAGCACAGAGCTTGTAGAACCAGACTGGCCTCTCAACTGTTGCCAGCATTTGCTACTGAGAGCCAACATTACCGCTGCCAAATTTCTTGCATCTTGGTCATCTTAAAAATAACTCCCAAGATAGAATTTCAATATAAGAAGCCCCTTCAGAAATGCTCCAGATAGACCAGTATCGGAGAGCAAGGGGCAGACAAGTCATTTCTGTTGTCACTGGCAAGGGAAGAAAGGCTTTTTCCTGGAACATTTTCTTCTAAATGCATTCTGTGCAAATCCTGCAATGAATCTGGCAATTCTCAGGCTTTTAAGGCCCAGGAAATGGCTTCTAAACATCTCTGTTCCATGTTGAGGCAGGTGAGAAAGAAAGGCACCCCTTGTGAGAGGAGGCTCAAAGTCCACAGAGGGGCAGGCTCCTTCACCATGGATCCCAGTCCTCCAGCACAGGGGACGGAGGCCCAGTCACTAAAGGTGGCTTTGTTGACTTTGGTGGACTTGCATTAGCCAGATCTCCCTCAGATCTGCCCACAGACCTGGGGTATGACCAGAATCGGGCTCCTTGGCTGAGAGATGGGACTCAGCACTGGGCACATCAAATGGTCCTGTCACTGCTGGCTCTCTAGGACCTTCTCCGGAAGGAGAGAGGGTGACCTCAAGTATGGGATACTTCAGCCTGCTAAGTCCCCGAGGTCCCAATGAGTATGCCACTGCCCTCGTTGCCCAGCTCCCCTGGTTCCCATGGTGCCCATGAGGACAAAAGCTCTGAGAGCCCTGGGTGACCTGCTCAAGGTCTTCCAATGGAGCTGTTCCTGGCTCTAGCACCAAACTAAGATGTCCTTTACGGCTTTCTTTCCATTTATCCCAACAGCTTGTAAATGGAGGCCCATGGGTCCTGCTTCCAGACATGCCCAGGAGTGTCAGGGATCACCAGAATGTCTCGTCCTCCCCTCTCTCTGTGTCTACACACATTCTAGACAGTTGTCAGTGTATGGTGGGTGAGCTCCTGCCAGCCTATAACCCTCTAGCCCTCCAGTCCACATTTCTGCTCATTGCCAAAGCCCTCTGCCTGGTGTCCAACTTGGCTCCTTCACAACTGTGAACTCCAAGCAATTTATAGAGGGACTGAGCAGGCTGAGTCAAGGCAGGTCAGGGTCGTCAGCTCCAGGTCATTGTGAATGGAGAATGAGAACGGTCTTCCATCCTTTCGCTTCTAAATGCTTCCCCACTCCAAGTTCCTTAGAGCCCTCTCAGAGTACCTGGGTGCAGTCCCAATTAAAGGCAGGAGCCACCCACAAGTCCAGCAGCCACCTCTTGGTCTTAAATTGCTTGATGGGGCAAAAACAACAGACAGACAAACAACCCTCTCTGGTGTAAGGAGAAGCTGTTGAACAACAGTGGTTTTGTGCCATCCATCCAACTCACCTGGACTCTCTTCCGCCATTATCTAACCTGAATGGGGACAGCTTGGGCTCTGGAGTCAGACTTAGATTCCATTTGCTGTGCCCCTATTTGCTAGCTGAATATGCTTGTTTGAGCCTCAGTTTCCCTATCTGCAAAATGGAGACAATAATATCAATCTTGCTGGCTTGCTTAACTGGACAGAGTGAATGCACATTCTAGATGGTGAATGTCTAGGCTTTCTGCCGTCGTTCCCCACCCCCAGACCCATTGTTACTGAATTTACTGAATTAGGATAGGACATCTGAGTCTATTCACAAGACCTTCCCATCTGGGAACACTTCTTCCTTCGACAGTTAAAGTCCTCCAGTCCTCAGGGACAGTTCACAGCTGTCTCCTCCACATGCTGGGCCTGACCACTGCTGCTCCCCCACCCCCACTTTCTTGTCTTCCCCACTGCATGGTGCGGCAGCCTTCGGTATGACTGGGTGATCCATGTGCCTAAGGCTGACGGGAGACAAGCCTGGGTCACACTTTTCCATGCGCATTCCAATTGGCAGCCCCTCCCTCCCAGCTTATGACTTGACCCATGTGATCAGCAGGGGTTTGGGGCTGTAACCGTGCAGCCTAGAAAAGGGGAAGGAGAGGGTTCATGTGCGCTGCCACGCTGCACTAGGCCACCCTATCCTGGAGCTATAGTGGGCTTTGTGTGTGCTCTCACATGGTCCTGGGCTGAACTTAGCCTATAGTGGTCCCTGTGTGCACTCCCACTCTGCACTGGGATACTCAGGTACTTGGGCTGCAGCTCAGCTCCTACGTCCTCCCACCCTACCTGGGCCCGCAGACGGTCCACCTCCTCTGACAGGTTCTGTCGCTCCAGGAGAAGCTGATTCTGCTTGTTGAGCAACTGCACCAGCTGCTGGGCTGTGGCCTGGCCATGCTTATCCAGCTGCCTGAGTCTGCAGAAAAGAATTGGAGATGGCTTCTGAGAGCTTTGGAGAGCACAGAGAACAATGACAGGTGTTAGCTCCGTCAGTTATATGTGGTAGCATTCCAGTGCTATGACAAATACTCAAGAAGAAATGGCTTGTTTGGGCTTATGTATTTTTAAGTTTCTGCCCATGATTAGTTACCTGCATTGAGCCTACAATTACTTAGCTGTATCACTCTGGGTCTGTGGCAGAGCAGCTTCCCGTGTTCAGGCATTGGTGGTAAAAGAAGTCCGTACTTCAAGGAGCACAGGAAATGCAGAGAGGAAGCCAGGGTCCCGAGACTACATTCACCACCACACCAACAACCCAACTTCCTCCCCGTAGGCTCCTCCCTTTGCATGGGGGTGGGGGGCTGGGAACAAAGCCTGCAAACAGGAATCATGGGAGTGGGATGCAAACCTCACTGGGTAGCTGAGGGGAGCTCCTGAGAGAGCACAGACAGGGGAGACCTTTGGCTAGTACCGGGGCCCACTGGCCAGCACTTGGTAAGCTAGATCGCCTTCTAGCCAATGACCAGGGCTGCAGCAGTCAGCCTCACATGTTCTTGATTAGAAAACACAAAGGGGAGTTGAGTACAGAGGAAAAGCTGAAGCCTTAGACCCTAAGCAGAGGTAAAAAAGGAGGGGCCTCGGTGCCTCCACTGTTCATCTGGGAGCGGCTGGGCCAGATTGCAGTCTGGCTAGGGATGGGGTGAAGCTCCAGAAACCCAAACTAAGGGCTTTCCATTATAACCCCTGTCAGTCACAGGCTGGGGCACTGCTGACCAGATGTCTTCAAAGATCCTAAATTTGTCATTCTGCTGATAGGCTCTCCTCCCCAGACTTGCTAATTCACTCCAGCCATTATCCTCATCTGTCCAGACAGCCCATGAAGTCGCTAGCACATGTGCCCATGCAAGGCAGCTTTGGGTTAAATTTAGAGCTGCTCTGGACAGAGAGGCGCAGCGCACTCTTCCTCGACCTCCATAGTCAGGAGCAGCGCTCTGAGCAACCCCTTGTGCAGTACTGGATGTCACGAGCTCCACGTGCATTTCCAATGCCAGACACCTGTACCCAGTGGCACCTGCATGCAGCTGCTGACCAGGAGACCCCCTCATTTCAGGCTCTCCTCAGGCAGTGCTTCTGGTGGGCTCCAGCACAGGCAGCATTACAGAGCCACGCCTTAAGTAAGGCCTTGGGACATTTTGTTTACTAATGTACACTGGCTCTAAGCAAAATGCATTTCTGGAAATCTGGCAACAGTCGAGTATTTTACACACCCACAAACACACACAGGGACCCAGACACACACACACACTAAATGCAAAGCATGGTATAACCTGCCCCCATCTGCCCTTCTCTGCATACACTCGACTGGCCAGAGTCATTGCCTCAGAGTTCCAGCCCCATCTCCTCTTGCCAACACTTAAGTTAGCTCCCTACTTCCACTCACACCAGGCCAGGGGGCTTCTCAGCTGGAGCATCCTGCTGTGCCAGATGAGCAAGGAGGGCAGAGCATGACTGCAGCACGCACGCACGCATGCATGCACGTATGCACAGTGCCCCCTCCCCAGGCTTCCATGGTCCTCTGCTATTGTTCAGATGATGAAGGACCAAGGGGCCTAGCTTGGCTTCCTCCCCAGTTGCCCCATCAAACCTGAGCAATGGCTCACTGCCCAATAAGGGTTTCCTGCCAGTGTCTGTACTACATCCTTCCTCTGCCCTTGGAGAAGGAAAACTCAAGTTTCCCTGAGTAAAGCCACAGGCACTCAGCACTGGGATGCCCGCATGCCTCCACTCCAACACAATGTCGGAGGACAGGGTTTTCTGGGGGACCAGTCTCTGTGCTAATCCACGAGGGGACAGACCTGCCTGGAGCTTGTGTGGACTGCTTTGCCTGGGAGTACTGCCACCCAGGCACTCTGCAGACACATACGTACATCCCTATCTTTGCAGCCCCCTGCGCTGCTGGAGCCCTTGGAGTGGCTCCCACAGGCCACTGACTTGTTTTTCTGAGAAGCAGGTAACTGTCCCGTGCTCTGGTCAGGCAGGTGAGAAGCACCATGAGGAGCAACTGAGCGGCGTAACCCCAAAATGGCTTCCCTCAGATCAAGTCCCATTGAGGTCGTGGCTTTGGGCTTCCTGCTTCTGAGAACAAGTGGGACAAGAGCATGAGTTAATAAGCAATCTGTAAGCCCGGCAGGGAGGTGGCAGTTCGTGGAAGGCAGACGCCAATGGTGGCTGAGCACAGGGGCTTTCCGCATCAGCACCCGGCTAGGAGGGGTGAGGTCCCGAGAGTGAAACCCTGACCCCCTCCCTCCCGGAAGGAGGCATTCCTCTACCCAAGCCTCTCTTTCTTTGCTCAGGCTGGTCTCAAACTCACTGGCTCAAGGTTCAAGCCATGCTCCTGCCTCTGCCCCCAAGTGGCTGTTGCTCTAACTGCACACCGTTGCACCAGGACTGGCTAATGGTTCAAACTCGATTGATCACTCAGTGAAGCTGCTCTCGGGTATGATTTTCCCCCATTAAAAAAAAATAAAAACAATGGCCCCCCCCTTCTTTTTTTGGGGGGGAGCCCATATACTGTCACTCCATATACAGCAAGGAAGTCAAGCCCAGAAACTTAAACCCCCCCCAACTGTACATTTTCTGAGAAAAAAAATACAGACAGAATTTAGAGAAAAGGAGATTTGTTGAGGAAATCCTCTTGAAGGTCTCCGTAGGCACATCATGCATGCCAGGAGAAGGGACTTCTAACTTCAGAAACATTGCCAGCCCAGCCCAGCCTGCACTGTGTGAGTGGATGCTTTATTACCATCAGTTGGAAGCAGTTTCTTGGACAGTTTTATAGACAAAGAAGCTCTATTTCAAATTTCCTGGTATGGGTCTTTATACTCCTTTTTTGATGATCTAAATTGACAGCTGATGGTAGTCACCAATATTTGCTGAGCCCTGTGTTTACAGCTCCACACTGATTATTCAGTTATAACCGTCTGAAGTGCCATAGAGTCACCACTCCCATTTTACAGATGGGAAAACTGGACGTGATGAGTTAGCATGAATCCTGCCCAGACCTGGCAGAGCCTGGAGTCAAATCCGGCCATGCCCACTTGGGTATCTCACCAGGCTAGCCAACCTTTGGCGAGCATTTCCTGAGTCCAGCACTGCTCTTCAGCTCTAGATGGCTGAGACAAAAACTGAGATCAAGAACTGGAAGGAGGGATGCTCGGTCTCACAGTTTCCTGGGTTTCAGAACACGGTTGGGGGAAGAGACGAGTTATGCTGAATCAGATGTGCAACTCTAACAGGTCAAAGGTCAAGATGGCAAATGTGTGCCCTGGAAAAGGCACATGCCAAGCCCACCAGTCACTGAGCATCCACTGTCCAGGGCAATGTGCTGGTGCTTTGCAGACGTGAAACCTAGCGCTCTCCACGAGTGAGCTATAACTCCACTTTCAGGATGAGGAAGCTGAGCCATGGAAGTTCAAAGTCACCTGGCTAGCAGGCTATGATGTGAATAGCCCCTCAGCCTGTGGAGACGCCAGCACTTTCTCTCTTCTCATGGGGTGTCTGCACAGGGTCCCCCCTGCCTGCTGCTCCCGTCAGTGGCAAGAGCTGCTTTTCAGTGTCAGATCTCATACCGTTCTGTCATCTTGACACATGGAGGCACCATGGTTTTAGCCCTCGCCCACAGGGTGTTCAACAGTGAAGCCAACATGAGGGATAGTGATCTGAGGCCTGTGCCAGAGGACAGTCCTTCCAGAAAGGCACCCACAGGCTGCGAGCCACATGCAGGCTCCACACTCCTGGGGAGAGAGAGCCACTGGTCTCAGGACAAAGACCTTAGTTCAGTGTGTCTTCTCCAGGTCTCTCTCTCATCCTAACAATGTGTGGTCATCGGCCTTCACCTTGTCCTGGGGAACTGTGGCTGTCACAGAAAGGATACTTTTTCACCAGGCCGGTGCTGGTGTGCCATCTGGGCCACAGGGCCCACAGTTTTGGGACTTGCCTGTGTAGAAGTCCCACCTCTGGGCGGGATGGAGACTCAGGCAGCAGCTGCCTGTGCTGCGTCATGGGCACAGGCTCTCTCCTGAGGCATCACTAGGAATTTCAGGTGTATAAGGGACAGCAATTTTCAAAACAATAAAGCAGCCCGGGGCTTCTAAAAGCACAAATGCAGATGAGGATCATAGGAGACCCCTGTGTGCTGGGCCAAGCCCATCTCTATTGGTCCAACAACCCTGGTCTCAGCCACACTGCAGGGACATTATCTGAAACAGCACTTTTGAGAACTAGGCAAGGTTTCATGATAAGATGGGACAAGTGGTAAAATGCAAACAGCTCTGTAAAGCAAGTGGGCTGGGAAGAGCGTATGCAAAGTCGCAGCAGGGCAGGCAGGCTGCCAGCTCGGGCCTGGGCTTCAGACCCCCTCCGCTATGAATACTGTGAAAGCCAGTGAATACATATACTTCAATTTCTCTGTTGTTTGTGAGATGGGGAATATATGTTAGCATGTGAGGTCTAAAAACTGAAGGAAGGCTTGGGTGCCTGGGGAGGTGCTGCCTGCCCTCTCCAGGCTGGTCCTGCTCCTCTGCCAGGGGTCGCTACCCATGTCCTGCACAGGACTCCTCTGGGTGCCTCCCACAGACAAGTTGGCGGGGATTTGTGTTTGGTTTTGAGAGGATGTTTTTTCATTTTATTTTGTTTGAGTTTTTGGTATAGTGGTAAAATGACTTTTGTTCTGAAATGTTTGACCACAGCCCCTTCCCCGTGGAGATTTTGAATCCAACAGGCCTTCCTTCATCTTCTTAGACACGCATTCTGAGAAAGTTTAGATCCACAATTTCCCTGGGGGAGGAGTCTCCTCATAAAATGAAGGACATTTTTTCAAACAACATACGGATCATAAAACTGTCAATATTTTAACTGTAAAGTATGTTCGGTTCTCCGCTGCTCCCAGTGAGGCTTTCCCATTGACTGGGACATTCC